CCCACTTTCCTTAATGGTTCCTTGGCTGGTCCTTGGCTGGTCCTTGGCTGGTCCTTGGCTGGTCCTTGGCTGGTCATTGGCTGGTCCTTGGTTGGTTCTTGGCTGGTCCTTGGTTGGTCCCCTTCAATCAATCTTTGTAGTAAAATATTCTTTCTGTCATGATTTCTCGACATTAAGATCTAAAGAGAAGCTCCATCTGCTGGTCAGACCCTGTAATTCAGTGAAGGGGTGGAGTCAAAGTAAAAACATGCGGGGGGGGGGGTCCCTCCAGTGGCTGGAAGGTGGTTTAGGTTTAGCTGGGATTGGTGGGAAGTGGGCTGCTGTTCAGCTGGTGTTAGACTGGGAAGGTCCATTTTGAACGGCTGCTACTGTGAGCAGCATGACGCTGAGAGGCGACAATGTTTTGGCTTTTTTGTTGCCGCTCTTTTCTTTTTGAGCAAATGAAAATTAAAAAAGGTATTTTAAAGTTTAAGATAAAAATGTGTTGAGGACTCTAGAAAATGCGTTGGATGAAGGGTCCAGCTGCTCCGCCTGCTGATGCGCTGAGTGGTGCTTGCTGGCTTTCAGCGGCTGCTTTTCGTTTGCCTCACTGATCAGCTCCCTGCACGCTACCTGTCGTCCCTCCCCACTTTGGGCTCCGCCCCCTCCCTGCAGGACATCTATCTCTCGCATGAGCAGCAAGGAGAAGATAGGCATCCATGAGCGGGAGAAGCACCCGCCTCCTGCCCTGCCCAGTAGTCCGGCCGAGGATGACGAGGAGGAAGGCCATACGGGGCAGAGCCAGGCGAAGGCCTCCAGCAGCTCCAGCTCAGAGGAGGAGAGCGAGTCGGAGAGCGACGCCGAGTCCGGTGAGGGGGAGCTGCTTGTTTAGTTTGGACTCTGGGATGTCTGTGCTAAAAGGCACGCAGGCAGTACAGCTGCATCAGATGTTTAACCTGCTCTTACTTGTGCCGTTTCAGAGAAAGCTAAAAATAGAGAAATCATAAACAACTTAAACAACAAGCGAAACACCAGCAGCATGCTGTCTACCTCCATGTCGGGGAGTACCACTGCAAGCCAGGGGAAAAAGGTAGAGTGTGAAGACGCCGCTGGGATTCCAACTGCTCCATGTGCTTTTCTGGAGTTATAAAGGACTTGTGCTTGTCCTGCAGGAACCAAGTAAGCCTCTGGCCACCGAGTCTCCGGGCTCATGGAGGACGTCCCTGAGGAAGGCGGGCAGCTCGGTGACCCTGGGCTCAGCTGGGCTCTCAGACTCCATCCAGGACCCAAGCAGGGCCACAGAGTCTGGACTCAGAATGAGCCGCTCCGCCTCCAGCCCGCGCCTCAGCTCTGAGGCCAACACCAAGGTACGCACTCCTTATTTTATCTCAGCAAGAACGCCACGGGCCAAATAAAAGCTTCTTTTATGGCCTCCACTCGCTCAGCTTCATAAATAACAGATAAACACACCAAAGCCTCCCTCTTTTGTCTTCCAGGAGCCAAGGCTCGCTCGAGTGCCGCCAACTCCGACACGGAGACTCTTCAGTATTCCAGATAACAGCTCTGACGGCTCCAGCAGGTGGGATTTAACCGTCTTCCATAGAGAGGAAGAGTCTGAGTCACTGCCTGTATGTCCCTGTCACCCTGTCTCCCTCTCCCTCTCTTAGCTGGCTAAGCCGTAGCTCGTCTTACACTCGGCGACTTCATAGTCAGTTAGGGAATGAGTTCACTAGCTCCACGCCATCTTTGCTGCACAGGTCAGTCGCTCTGCTCACCGCCTGATGTCTACGTCTCTGCTTTGCTGTGTGTGTGATTGTGGTCGCATCGCCGCGGCTCATAACGGCGCCCTCCTCCTTCCCTCCACAGCTGCAAATGTTAGTTCATATGAACGTGTTGCTGTGAAAAACGTGCTTTCGTTAACCTCTTCCTACTCTGTCCTGCTACCAGCTCGTCTTACACGAAGAGACTGGATGACGCCAACGTGACCTCATCAAGTACAGGAACCAGCTCTGCTGGACTCAGCCGCCTTAATAGTCTGTTAGCTCAGAGGTATTTTATCTCAACTATTGTTTTGTGGCTTGGAGTTTGTGATTGTTATGCTTTTTTAATGCCTAAAATGGGGACATAAAGAAGCTAAAGTGTGTGAAAGAGGAGCAGCTGAATGTTAGGAATGTGTAGCTCCAGCATCAATGTTAAGGCAGGAAAACCAAAAACCTAACATGAACACAGAACCTGTTAGAGCCAGGTAATCACTGCAGGAAGCGCTGAAAAACAGGGAAGCTGTGGAGTTATTTAAAGGAGCTCTGCAATCATCTCTAGTCTGCCTGTAATTCTCCACTCGTTATTTAAAAAGCTTTCATTTTGGTCCCGTTCATTCCACCATTTTTCATTTTTCGCCTCAGTTCCGTCCAGCATGGTTACTCTGATTCATGCAGACTAGGGATGCACGATATAATCGGCCCCCTATCGGTATCGGCCTTAAAACTGAATATCGGACATC